AAAAAGAGACACTGTCTCCCTATGTTGCCCAGGCTAGTCTTGAACTCCTGGGCTCAAGTGGTCTGCTCTCTTCGGCCTCCCAAAGTGCTGGGTTTACAGGCGTGAACCACCGTGCCTGGCCCATAAGTATTATATTTTTCAGTGATATTTTAAATAGAATTGTTTTAAAAATTCTTTTTCATTTTGGTTGTTGATACTGTATAGAAATACAGTTGATTGGGCACAGTGGCTCTTGCCTGTAATCTCAGCACTTTGGGAGGCTGAGGCAGGCGGATCACCTGAGGTCAGGAGTTCAAGAGCAGCCTGGCCAACATGATGAAACCCCGTCTCTACTAAACATACGAAAATTAGCCTGACGTGGTGGCGGGCGCCTGTAATCTCAGCTACTCGTGAGGCTGAGGCAGGAGAATCACTTGAACCTGGGAGGCGGAGGTTGTGGTGACCAGAGATCATGCCATTGCTCTCCAGCCTGGGCGACAGAGCTAGACTCCATCTTAAAAAAAAAAAAGAAACAAAATTGATTTTTGTATATTTATCTTACATCCTGTAACCTTGCTAAACTTGTTTATTAGTTCTAATAATTTATACTTCCTTGGGAATTTCTGTATAAAAGCTTGTGTCATCTTTAGGGCTCATTTGGTTTCTTCTATTCCAATCTGTATACCTTTTATTTGTGTTTCTTCCTTATGGCCCTACTTTGAATCTCCAGTACAGGGTTGAATAGAAGTGGCAAGACTGGACATCCTTGTCTGGTTTCTGATCTTAGGGAGAAAGCGTCCAGGGTTTCACCTGTAAGTGTGATGTTAGCTGTAGGTTTTTCATAGATGCCCTATGTCAGGTTGAGGGATTTTTCTTTTCTTAGCAAACTGTTTGCTAAGTGTTTTGACCATGAAGGGGTGTTCATTTTTTCCTGTCTCATGAGATGCTTATGTGGTTTTGTCCTTTTGTTCTATTGATATTTGGCATATGAATTCATTAAGCTATTAAGCCAACCTTGCATTTCTAGGGTTAAATCCCCACTTGTTCATGGTGTTTAATCCTCCTCACCAATTTTTTTTGTTGTTGGTGTTGGAGGGGAGCTGGATTCAGTTTGCATATATATATATATATATATAAAAAATGAGATCTGTCACCTGGGCTGGAGTGCAGTGGTGCAGTCAGCTCACTGAAGCCTTCACCTCCTGTGCTCAAGCGATCCTCCTGCCACAGCCTCCTGAGTGTCTGGGACTACAAGTGTGCGCCTCCATGCCCGGCTAATTTTTTTATTTTTGGTACAGACAGAGTCTCACTATGTTGCCCAGGTGGGTCCTGAACTCCTGGGTTCAAGCGATCGTCCCTCCTTGGCCTCCCAAAGTGCTGGGATTACAGGCATGAGCCACTGCACGCAGCCTATAGATTCAATTTGAGGGGACTTGACAGCTGTGTAATGTCATACATTTAGGAGCATGAAATGCCCTCTATTTAACTTTTTTTTTTCCCCAAACACACTGGCTTTGAGTAATCTTGGCAAATTTCCTAATACCCTTTGTCGTTTTCCCTACTTCTGTGAATGATACTTACTTTCTTACATTTTCTAGGCAATGTTGATACAAGGAAATGCCTTTGATTTTGTAACATGATTTCAAATTCAGCAGTTGGGTTGTGCTCTTGTGTTTTACTTGCTCCTTGAGTCTGTTTTTAAGTAAATGATTGTGTCGACGCAGGTGGGAACACTCCGCCCCTCACATTCCTCTTTCCCTTTGGTGTCACCTGCACTGCCTGTTTATGTCAG